ACTGTAAATCCAGGGCCCCATTGGTTAGTAAATTTGATTTCCATTGATGATTTCTGTGTAATTTTGTTGTCAGCAAATTGGACTTTGTACAGCACAAGTTATTCAGTCAGAATATTTTATTCATCCAGATCTAGGCTGTTTTATTTAAGTGTTACCTTTATTTATTTATTTATTTTTGCGCAGTATATTATTTCTCACAGTTGCTAATGCTGTTATTCAGAGTCATCCCTGTTTATAATACATGTTGACTTCCTTAGTTATTCCTACATCTAATGAACTCTACAATGTTGAAAAGGTTTCATTTTATGAGATAATAGCAGTATAAGTAGGTTTTCCTTGATCATTTCTATTTTTTTAAACTGCAAGTTACAAAGTCATACGGGTTATGAATGAAGCTTATAATGTAATGAAAAGAAGAAAAAAATCAAAAACTGTATTAGCTGCACTCATTTTGCTCCCTGGTTTTCATAAGCAATGTAAAAAATGCTGTGGCCACATAGAATAGACAGGAGTAAATATAAAATGCTAAAGGTATCTGCTAATCACATTTGACTTGGAGGTTGAATCCCTCTGGTATTCTGACAAGTTTATAGATTTGTTTTTTTACTTGCTGTTGTCATGGTATCTGCATTTTGCTCCAGTCTATTTGTTGTGTTGGCAGCATTTTACTTGAGCAGTGTCTAATTTGGCTTTAGGTTTTGTGTCTGTTTCCTGTACATTTGCACTATACTTTTGACCTACATTATTTTAAATGTGCTTCATTTATGAGGTGACGGTCAGAAGCAATAGTTTTATAAGTCTATACATGCAAAAGGATAAATGGCAGGACATGTTTACCAGCAAGGGTGCATGTTTCTGCAGCATTCTCTGCTGTCTTCTCCCTTACTCATTTTAAACTCTCAACTGAAAACCAGGATTCATTATAAATATAGTTTTAAGCTCTCACATTCCTGCCCTTTCTAGCTAATGTATATATGCTGTATTAATAAAAATAGGATTTTTAAATACTATGCTCTGAAGCTGTTTTCTTGCCTCAAGGTTCCTGGTTTAAACTCCAGCATTGGGTCTCTAAGCATGTTGTAAACATCAGAGGTGGGTAAATAGTTACATTGGTGTAAAGCATATTTAGTTAGCCACTAAATGTTTAAGTTATCCTACTTAGAAAGGTAGCAGGTCAGAATTTATTCTCTGATAATTTCAATTATAAGAGAGGCGAAATAAGAAGAGAGTTGTCAAGAATATATTGGTAAATTATGGTGCTTATATGGGTGCTTATTTGTCTTGTAACCAAAACAAAATGTATTGTGCTTCTCTAATAGATATATAATAAAAGTAAACATATTCCTTATCAATTAAGCTAGACTAATTTTCTCAGAATATTTCAGAGCTGTGCAGCTTTTAAAGAACGGGTTCTTATTTGTAAGTGACTGTGGTTTTAACATGTTCTATTACTGTGAGAACAGGAAACAGACAGCTGTAGAGTGTCTGCAGACAATGACCGCAGGGTTGTCGGTTCAAGCCCTGGCTCCAGCTTTCAGTGTAATTCACCTGCATTCCCTACTGATGGTGGTCAGAGGGCCCGTTGGCAGAGGTTCATGGCAGGTTTGCTTCTGTCAGTGAGCCAAGGGCAGCTGTGGCTACAATGTAATTTGCCACTATCAGTGTGAGTGTGAATTGGTGAATGGCTGAATGTAGTATAAAGTGTGAAAAAGCACAATATAAGTAAAGACCATTTACCATTTGTCCTCAGTAATATAAAAACTCACTGGCTCATAAGTTTTTTAACTGTGGTGCTTTAAAAAAAAAATTCAAACACTAATCCCAGGTTTATCTATTAATCTAATCTACATGTTGTTGCAGGCTGTGACTTCTTTTATAAAACTAAAGAGCAGCTCAGAACATCTTCCTTCTCTGTGTCTCAGGTCTAGTCTGAGGAGCAGCAGAGGATGAAGATAATCTTCTTTCACAGAGGCTCTCAGTGGTTCCCTCTGCTGTCTGAGGGGCTCCTTCATCTCCTTCTAGGCCTCTGCCTTTATGGTACGTTACATACATATAGGTTTTAGAATTAGTGGATTCTATTGCATCAGGATCTTTGTTAAACATAATTAGATTTCTGCTAACATTAAATTATACTAGATTTGATCTGATATAAGTATGAATAAAATACGGGTAATGGTTTTTTAAAAACATGCAAGTTCACAACAAAGATTAATGTTTTATAATTTTAAACAAATATATATTTTTGCATAAAATAACAAAAGTTTACCAGGATTATTCTTTCTTTATGTCGCTTCCTCAGTTTAAATTCAACCTAAAACATGTGGTTATAACATAAATGATTAGTATTTATAGTATAATACTCTGATATGTTGACACTGTCAGTGATGGTAAATGGAGACAGATCAGGTTATAAAACCTGATGGTTGTTCTTTGGAAGATCTTAGAGC